GCAGGAGAGGAGTGTAGGAGATGTGACAGCAGGCAGTATGTGCAGGAGAGGAGTGTAGGAGATGTGACAGTGAGCAGTATGTGCAGGAGAGGAGTGTAGGAAATGTGACAGCAGGCAATATGTGCAGGAGAGGAGTGTAGGAGATGTGACAGTGAGCAGTATGTGCAGGAGAGGAGTGTAGGAAATGTGACAGCAGGCAGTATGCTCAGAAGAGGAGTGTAGGAGATGTGACAATGAGCAGTATGTGCAGAAGAGGTGTATAGGAGATGTGACAGCAGGCAATATGTGCAGGAGAGGAGTGTAGCAACACACCAAAATGAGCATGTGCAGTGTGTCTCCACATGATATGGCTTATCAGGAGATAAGATGGGGGCACTGGAGGAAGGGGAGGATCAGAGAAGTAAGATCAAAAGGCATTTTTACACAATGCACAAGAATAACCCCTTAGGTTCCACAGTGAGTATATCAAGCATGGTTTACTGCAGATACAGACTGATTTTACAGTCGTGGGTTTAGTAACACTTTAACTCTTTACATACCTACATGGTAGCTACCACCACGTGTTTTAACGAAAACAAACACTGTTAACAACAATCCTGGCCTTTAAAAAATATATACCACTTGCTGCCACATCCAGACAGGAATGTAACATAGTTTAAAACCACGATAGCTCTTCATGAAGGCAAAATTTTTTCACTTTCAGTTAAAGGATTCAACTTAAGAGGAAAACTGTGCAGGAAGTATTTACAGAAAAGATAGAACAAACAGACATAAGCAAAAAAAAATAAAAAGGGTTCAATAGTGAAACATTCTGCGCCTGGTCTTTGGTTCAGCACAGAGTTCAGATCACTTGCAGAAAAAGTCTATTTTGATATAGCAGAGTTCACTGGATCTCATGACTCTTATTTTACATTCATAGTTTTGATGGTAAAACAAGAGTACTGGCTGCAAAATGCTGCTATCTTTTAGGCTACATTAACACTATAACGTTTTGTGGATGCGCACACAATTGCATAATTTTGCGCACATTTCTGAAACGAGTGGAAATTGTGTTGTGAAATTCATTGTTAATGGAAACCCATTCCCAATCTGCACAGAAATGGAAGAAACCAATAAGACCCAAGTACACCAATCTACTGTCCGGAGAAGTCTGGTCAGAACTGCGACCAAAAGCCATACCTCTGATGTGGAAAAAAGGCTGAGTGACTCAACTATGCACGAAAACATAGGAACTGGGGTGCAGAAAAATGTTAGCAGGTGCTCTGGACTGATGCATCAAAATCTGAAATATTTGGCTGTAGCAGGAGGCAGGTTGTTCTTGAAGGGCTGGAGAGCGGTACAATATTGAGTGTTTACAGGCAACAGCAAAGCATGGTGAAGGTTCCAAGTTTGGGGCTGCATTTCTGCAAATGGAGCTGAAGATTTGGTCAGGATCAATGGTGTCCTCAATGCTGAGAGTTACAGGCAGATACTTATCCATCATGTCATACCATCAGGGAGGTGTGTGATTGCCCCAAATTTATTCTGCAGCAGGACAACCACCCCAAACATACAACCAATGTCATTAAGAACTATCTTCAGTGTAAATAAGAAGAAGAAGTTCTGGAAGTGATGATTTGGCCCCCAAAGAGCCCTGATCTCTTCATCATGCAGTTTGACTGGGATTACATGAAGAGCAGAAGGATTTGAGGCAACCTACATCCACACAAGATGTGTGGTTAGTTATCCAAGAACAACCTTCCTCTTGAGTTCCTTCAAAAACTGTGTGCAAGTGTACCTAGAAGAATTGATGCTGTTCTGAAGGCAAAGGGTGATCACACCAAATACTGATTTGATTTGGATTTCTCTTCTGTTCATTTACTTTCCATTTTGTAAGTCCTGGAAGTTATAGTTTGGCCCCCACAGAGCCCTGATCTCAACATCATGGAGTCTGTCCGGGATTACATGAAGAGGCGGAAGGATTAGAGGCAGCCGACATCCACAGATCTGTGGTTAGTTCTTCAAGATGTACATAGAACAACCTACCTGCTGAGTTCCTTCAAAAACTTTGTGCACAAGCACTGTGTGTACCTAGAAGAATTGAGGATGGTTTGAAGCCAAAAAGGTAGTAATAGCAAATATTGATTTAATTTGGATTTTTCTTCTATTAATTTACTTTTGGTTTTGTTAACTGATTAAAACAAATTGTTAACACTTCTATTTCTAAAAGCATTCCTAATTTACAGCATTTTTTCACAAATGCCTAAAACTTTTGCACAGTACTGTACATTAGGGTAACCACATTTTATGAAAATAGAGCGGGAATTATGGGATATGGATAGAGGGGTTTCCGTTTCAGGTTTAAATAGGTCATTACCCCCAGTCTGATAGATGTTATTGCTCAAACTACTCTCCAAACTGTTTATTACTGACCATTTATGACAGAGCCTCACTAGGAGTCTTTATAAATTGGTGTCACCACCTAGGAGTCTTTATAAATTGGTGTCACCTCCTAGAAGTCTTTATAAATTGGTGTCACCACCTAGGTAGGAGTCTTTATAAATTGGTGTCACCACCTAGGAGTCTTTATAAATTGGTGTCACCACCTAGGTAGGAGTCTTTATAAATTGGTGTCACCACCTAGGTAGGAGTCTTTATAAATTGGTGTCACCACCTAGGAGTCTTTATAAATTGGTGTCACCTCCTAGGAGTCTTTATAAATTGGTGCCACCTCCTAGGAGTCTTTATAAATTGGTGCCACCTCCTAGGAGTCTTTATAAATTGGTGCCACCTCCTAGGAGTCTTTATAAATTGGTGTCACCACCTAGGAGTCTTTATAAATTGGTGTCACCTCCTAGAAATCTTTATAAATTGGTGTCACCCTAGGAGTCTTTATAAATTGGTGTCACCTCCTAGGAGTCTTTATAAATTGGTGCCATCTCCTAGGAGTCTTTATAAATTGGTGCCACCTCCTAGGAGTCTTTATAAATTGGTGCCACCTCCTAGGAGTCTTTATAAATTGGTGCCACCTCCTAGGAGTCTTTATAAATTGGTGTCACCACCTAGGAGTCTTTATAAATTGGTGTCACCTCCTAGAAGTCTTTATAAATTGGTGTCACCACCTAGGAGTCTTTATAAATTGGTGTCACCTCCTAGGAGTCTTTATAAATTGGTGTCACCTCCTAGGAGTCTTTATAAATTGGTGTCACCTCCTAGTAGTCTTTATAAATTGGTTTCACCTCCTAGGAGTCTTTATAAATTGGTGTCACCTCCTAGGAGTCTTTATAAATTGGTGTCACCTCCTAGGAGTCTTTATAAATTGGTGTCACCACCTAGGAGTCTTTATAAATTGGTGTCACCTCCTAGGAGTCTTTATAAATTGGTGTCACCACCTAGGAGTCTTTATAAATTGGTGTCACCTCCTAGGAGTCTTTATAAATTGGTGTCACCACCAAGGTAGGAGTCTTTATAAATTGGTGTCACCTCCTAGGAGTCTTTATAAATTGGTGTCACCACCAAGGTAGGAGTCTTTATAAATTGGTGTCACCAACTAGGAGTCTTTATAAATTGGTGTCACCTCCTAGGAGTCTTTATAAATTGGTGTCACCACCTAGGAGTCTTTATAAATTGGTGTCACCTCCTAGGAGTCTTTATAAATTGGTGTCACCTCCTAGGAGTCTTTATAAATTGGTGTCACCTCCTAGGAGTCTTTATAAATTGGTGTCACCACCTAGGAGTCTTTATAAATTGGTGTCACCACCTAGGAGTCTTTATAAATTGGTGTCACCTCCTAGGAGTCTTTATAAATTGGTGTCACCTCCTAGGAGTCTTTATAAATTGGTGTCACACCTCCTAGAGTCTTTATAAATTGGTGTCATCTCTCATGGCTGCCTAGTATAGACAGGAGATTTATATCTGACTGTTTTTGTAACCAATTTGCAAATTCTGGGCAAAATGTGGGTGGCACTGTGTTCAGAATGAGTTCTTAGGACTTCACTATCGTCCCCAGATCTTCTCGTCCAACATCAGTACCTAATCTCCAAATGGTTTGGCCCAAATGGCACAAATTCCATCATACACATTCGAAAATATTGTAGCCTTCACAGAAGGTTGGAGGCTGCTACAGGCTCAAATATGTGTGATGGCTGGCAGTCAATAAAACTTCGGCCTTATAGTTTATTCTTCAGTCACAAAAAATGTATTTGTGTCTTGCAGACATTTCTATCTAAAAGAAGATTTTTTTAATTTTTTTTTTTTTTTTTTTTTTTTTAGAAACATGCTGTTCTTCATTAAAGACTGGCAAGCAACAGGTTAGCCAAGTCTGCAAAGCAGATACTTAACATGGCTCCCCCCCTCTCCGCATTAGCTGCTACTGATGGAAACGGTGACCCAGCTGTGGTTTTCCTGAGGCCCCTCCATAACTGTACCAGTGACTGCTCCAGACATTTGGAGAAAGGGAGGTGGAGGCGTGACGAGTGTGCGGCTGTCTCTTAACCCATTCCCACATGCGGGCTTAAATTACAATTGAAGAATTATTTTCGTATGAAAAGCAGGACCGTTGATGGATCTGAATTATATAAAAGATGAGGAAATCCCTATTTATGAGGCCTGGCAAGGCATGGCAGAGGCTCAACAAAATGTTCAGACAGTAAGTCGCCTGCCTCGGGCTCTTAAAACCTTGTGCCATGTTCCTTATGAGCGGTGAGGGGTCTCTGCGGCAAGTTTTGGCACTGCCGAGCGAATTTACAGTATTTTGATGGGGTCGGTTCACACTTCTCTTCGAGCAAAATCCATCTTACTTCATTATTACATTCAAAAAGAGAGGTCAGGAACTTAGGAATACTCGTAATAAACGCATTAAACGTGGCTGCACTAATGTGAAAAACAATCTCCCTGCAGAACACACTTTGTTAAAGTGTATGTAATTGTGAACCAATAATCTGTTTTTCAGTATCTTTGGCATCATGCCTCAATGTATATCAGTGTTTCTCAACCTACTTTCAGTCAAGTCACCCTTTCAAATTATGGACAGTCTTGAGGCACCCTTTAAAATTATGAACAGTCTTGAGGCACCCTTTAAAATTATGGACAGTCTTGAGGCACCCTTTAAAATTATGAACAGTCTTGAGGCACCTTTTAAAATTATGGACAGTCCCGAGGCACCCTTTAAAATTATGAACAGTCTTGAGGCACCCTTTCAAATTATGGACAGTCTTGAGGCACCCTTTAAAAATATGGACAGTCCCGAGGCACCCTTTCAATTTATGGACAGTCCCGAGGCACCCTTTAAAATTATGGACGGTCCCGAGGCACCTTTTAAAATTATGGTCAGTCTCGAGGCACCCTTTAGAATTATGGACAGTCCCGAGGCACCCTTTAAATTTATGGACAGTCCCGAGGCACCCTTTAAATTTATGAACAGTCCCAAGGCTAGAAATTATGGACCCGCACCCTTTAAATTTATGGACAGTCCCGAGGCACCCTTTAAAATTTATGGACAGTTCCGAGGCACCCTTTAAAATTATGGACAGTTCCGAGGCACCCTTTAAAATTATGGACAGTCCTGAGGCACCCAATTCTAAAATGGGGTGCCTCAAGACTGTCCATAATTTTAAAAGGGCACCCCATTCTAAAATGTAAACAACTATTCTAACAGCAACATCCACATATGTAGGACACCCAACATTAGAGGTGATTTATTCTTCCAAAGCAAATACACTTTTGCACACTGGTACTGACTAGTATTCCAATGTTTCTCTTCTCCTTCAATTTTTCTCCATCACTGAGCTAATGTAACCCCAGGGCTGATGGAGAGGGGCAGGGGAGGGTCAAACTAGGATGCTGTGCAGGCAGCTGACATCCTCCTTATCAACTGATGATGTCATTGGTTGTCAGGACACAGAGGATAGAAGGTAGTAATGGTGCACAATGAAAACCTGTGGCTTTGCGTAACCAAAAGGCCGGCTTGTTCCACCCGCTGGCTTGTATACAAGTTTTGGGCAATTTTTAGACATTTTGCCAAGGCACCCCTGAAGAAACCTCAAGGCACCCTGGTTGAGAAAGGCTGATGTATATAGTTTTCTTAGACAAATCATTTCTTGTGAATTTGTCGCAAAGTTTCTTACCTGAGAATCCTACCAGTAATGGCACTTCTGTTGCAGGTTGACAACAATAACTCACTGCCTTGCAATAAATAGTTGAGTTGTCAGCCTGCCATGCATTGTCCCTTGGGTGAGGAGGAAGATATGCCCGGTGTCCAGAAAAATGCAGCTCTTGATGTAGTGTTCACAAAACGTTTATTGAAATGGTAAACCTGTACATTGAGCCAATGCATTTCAGGGGACTGGACTCCCCCTTCCTCAGGGCTAATATAGAAGCATAAAAATAGAAGCATAAAAAATATATACACAATTAGTCAGTATCCTGCTTAGAGGACAAAATAGGTAAAGACTGAACATAAATATTTATTGAAAAGGTAAATGTACATAAATCCAACGCATTTCAGGGGAATGGACAAAATAAAGAACATGCATATGTACGAATAAACGCGTGTAGGGATGATCACATAAAAATACTCAAAACAAAGTGTGTTCATCCCTACACTCTTTAATTCGTACATATGCATGTTCTTTATTTTGTCCATTCCCCTGAAACGCGTTGATTTTATGTACGTTTACCTTTTCAATAAATATTTTGTGAACCCTACATCAGAGTTGCATTTTTCTGGACACCAGATGCTTCTTCCTCTCCACCCAAGTCCTCTTACTGAAACAACGACATGGCCATCCTAGACAGGTAGCAGCCCAAGCCCCCAAGAGGGACCACCACCACCATTTGTCGGGCACAACCCACTGGAAGTGATTCCTTCCTCATTGCCCACACAGCCACCTACAGTCAGTCCCATTCGGTCTCCAGCCTAAATCAGATGCAAGGTCCCTTTTAGCCTGTAGGCTGCTTTTCAGGTCTGAGCATGCTTCCTTGTGGACCTAATAGGCAGCCAAATGATCAACCAAGGAGCACGCATGAAAGCATACCTCCGAACCAGGGGCGGACTGACAACTCATGGGGCCCCCAGGCAACAGGGGATCATGGGGCCCCTGTGCCCTCACCCACACCAAAAAAGCATATGAAAAAGCCAGTGGGAGGCACATATGCAAACTGTTGTAATTCCTACACCGTTCACCTGATTTGGATGTAAATACCCTCAAATTAAAGCTGACAGTCTGCAGTTAAAGCACATCTTATTCGTTTTTTTGTTTAGCTTTTAATGGGCCTTTCACTTTTATCTTGATATTTTTGGTTGGTTTTGAGTTAAAGCAGAGCTCCACCCAAAAGGGGAAGTTCAGCTTTAAGCCTTTGTCCCCCGATCCCCGTTAAGGGTTGGCACCTTGGAGGAGCAGGTACAGTCAAGTCCATAAATATTGGGACATCAACACAATTCTAACAATTTTGGCTCTATACACCACCACAATGGATTTGAAATGAAACGAACAAGATGTACTTTAACTGCAGACTGTCAGCTTTAATTTGGAGGGTATTTACATCCAAATCAGGTGAACGGTGTAGGAATTACAACAGTTTGCACATGTGCCTCCCACTTGTTAAGGGACCAAAAGTAGTGGGACAGAATAATAATCATAAATCAAACTTTCACTTTTTAATACTTGGTTGCAAATCCTTTGCAGTCAATTACAGCCTGAAGTCTGGAACGCATAGACATCACCAGACGCTGGGTTTCATCCCTGGTGATGCTCTGCCAGGCCTCTACTGCAACTGTCTTCAGTTCCTGCTTGTTCTTGGGGCATTTTCCCTTCAGTTTTGTCTTCAGCAAGTGAAATGCTTGCTCAATCGGATTCAGGACAGGTGACTGACTTGGCCATTGCAGAACATTCCACTTCTTTCCCTAAAAAACTCTTTGGTTGCTTTTGCAGTATGCTTTGGGTCATTGTCCATCTGCACTGTGAAGCGTCCAATGAGTTCTGAAGCATTTGGCTGAATATGAGCAGATAATATTGCCCGAAACACTTCAGAATTCATCCTGCTGCTTTTGTCAGCAGTCACATCATCAATAAATACAAGAGAACCAGTTCCATTGGCAGCCATACATGCCCACGCCATGACACTACCACCACCATGCTTCACTGATGAGGTGGTATGCTTAGGATCATGAGCAGTTCCTTTCCTTCTCCATTCTCTTCTCTTCCCATCACTCTGGTACAAGTTGATCTTGGTCTCATCTGTCCATTGGATGTTGTTCCAGAACTGTGAAGGCTTTTTTAGATGTCGTTTGGCAAACTCTAATCTGGCCTTCCTGTTTTTGAGGCTCACCAATGGTTTCTATCTTGTGGTGAACCCTCTGTATTCACTCTGGTGAAGTCTTCTCTTGATTGTTGACTTTGACACACATACACCTACCTCCTGGAGAGTGTTCTTGATCTGGCCAACTGTTGTGAAGGGTGTTTTCTTCTTTCACCAGGGAAAGAATACTTCGGTCATCCACCACAGTTGTTTTCCGTGGTCTTCCGGGTCTTTTGGTGTTGCTGAGCTCACCGGTGCGCTCCTTCTTTTTAAGAATGTTCCAAACAGTTGTTTTGGCCACGCCTAATGTTTTTACTATCTCTCTGATGGGTTTGTTTTGTTTTTTCAGCCTAATGATGGCTTGCTTCACTGATAGTGACAGCTCTTTGGATCTCATCTTGAGAGTTGACAGCAACAGATTCCAAATGCAAATAGCACACTTGAAATGAACTCTGGACCTTTTATCTGCTCATTGTAATTGGGATAATGAGGGAAAAACACACACCTGGCCATGGAACAGCTGAGAAGCCAATTGTCCCATTACTTTTGGTCCCTTAACAAGTGGGAGGCACATATGCAAACTGTTTTAATTCCTACACCGTTCACCTGATTTAGATGTAAATACCCTCAAATTAAAGCTGACAGTCTGCAGTTAAAGCACATCTTGTTCGTTTCATTTCAAATCCATTGTGGTGGTGTATAGAGCCAAAAATGTTAGAATTGTGTCGATGTCCCAATATTTATGGACCTGACTGTACCTGAATTTGACAGGTACCCCACTCCCACTTCACCTAAGGCAATCGGAAGCAGAAGTTGTCCTCCCCCTCCCCCACCCCCTCCCCCTCCCCGTAGTCTTCTGGGTCACGTGACAGGTCCCGGAAGACAACAGAACCATTCACAAAGCGCAGCGCTACTCGCACATGCGCAGTGGGCACCCGACTGTGAAGCTGTCACAGCCGGGTGCCCACACTGAAGATGCCGGTGTCGGGGAAAGAAGATGGTCGGTGAAACCAGCCGTGGGGAGGACACCGCTGGACCGAGGGACAGGTAAGTGGCTGTATTTTATAAGTCAACAGCTACAGTTTTTGCAGCTGCAGACTTTTATTTATTTATTTATTTTTTTTCAATCAACTGGAACTCCAATTTAAGCTCAAAACCTTGAAAAAAAGAAAATTAATTTGGCCACTACATCCAATGATTGATCAGCTGCAATATGTAACATTTCGATTTTGGGATTTAGTTACACTGTAACATGGTCTGGGGTGCTTATAATAGTTCATTTATGTAAAACATTTATTCCAAAAGAAAAAAAAAAATTATTGCTGTAGCTGATTAAAAAATGTGGTAGTCAAGTCATCTTACACTACCCTCTCTCTAGATTGACAATGCTGCTGACCAAGGGTGGCTCCGTTGCTCCTCCATACAGGCTGGAGCCACCACATTCCTAAAACATGACCTGGGCTCAGAGGAAGTGGGTTGTAAGATCCTATCCATCAGTCTGAAGACATCTAGCTGCAGAAAAAAAGTACTGCGGAGGAAATCTCTGATTTGAAGCTGAATAATAAAGAAAAAATATGTTTTATTTTAGCTTTTAATAGGCCTTTCAGATTTATCTTGATATTTTTGGCTGGTTTTGATTTAAAGCGGAGCTACACTCAAAAGGGTAAGGTCCACTTTAAGCCTTTGTCCCCCGCTCTCCGTTAAGGATTGGCACTTTGGAGGAGCAGGTACCCAAATTTGACAGGTACCTGCTCCCACTTCGCCTATTTGTTAGTCAAGTCCATCTTACACTACCCTCTCCCTAGATTGACAATGCAGCTGTCCAAGGGTGGCTCCATTGCTCCTCCATACAGACTGGAGCCACCAGATTCCTAAAACAGGAAGTGTGGCCGGATTACCAGATGAAATAAAGAGGGGGGAAAAAAACAAAAAAGAAAACTAAAGCAGCCACCACACCGAAGGATTGGTAAACTGCAATGTATTCCATTTTTGGTTTTGAGTTTACTACCACTTTAAACACTGAGAATCCACAGGTCTACACGGAGGACAGAACATCCACCCTACCTCTAGGCCTGGAGCATCCTTCTACGATCCAGCCCTCTGGGCCTGTGCCCTGGGATTCTTCTCAGATCTGGCTGTCCTGAAGACACTCCTCTGGAAAAAAACGAGCAGTCTGGGTCAGGCTCGGAGCGGAGGAGAGTAAACATCTGTGGATTCCAGACACATTGGGTAAGGGATCTGATCCTTCACGTGCGGTATGGAAAGCCTCAGACATGCACATCCAAGGTATACAAGCAGGAAAACACTAATCCATAGGGTGGAGGAGACCACCGAGGAGCTGATCTGCTGCACAGGATCTGGATGTGGTTAAAGTGCACCTGTCACCTACAGACTGCCATTTTGTGGGCTGAATAAATCATCAACACAGCCCGTCAATTTAACAAAAAAAAAGACGTAGCGGAATAAGGAGGTCAAAATTAATATGATTGTCCAGCCACAGCTGGAGTCTACGCATATAGACAGGTAGTGACTTTATGGAGGCTGGGGGGAGATCAGCAACATCGAGATGGAAAGAAATGATGATAAAACGTTAAAAAAAAATTAACAAAAACAGGAACGGTTAAAAATACACACGGTGCTTCATCAAACTAAATGTATCCAGTAAGGATGTTCACCTGCCGTGGGGCTCATTCACATCAGGTGGTGCATGTTAAGGTGTGCATAATGTAGATGCACTCATGCTGGTGTTTCTATTGCATGCTGCCTGCAATACTTTGGTAAAATACATCATAGTGATTTGTTTTTTACATATTTACATAAAGCGTAATTCTTCTTTTGTTGAAAAAAAAAAATCTAGCAAAAAAAAGAAAACAAAAGGCCTATACAATTGCTGCACAAGCCATATTGCAATTCAATGTTAATAAAAATGACCTTTCCTGTTCAATCTGCAGAAGCAGTCTGTCATTTTTCGGTAAACTTCAACACTGTGGAAATCCCTGCAAATTAAATTGTTACTAAACCCAGGACCCTGCATTCACTATATCCGGTCTCCCCGGACCCTGTATTCACTATATCCGGTCTCCCGGACCCTGCATTCACTATATCTGGTCTCCCCGGACCCTGCATTCACTATATCCGGTCTCCCCGGACCCTGCATTCACACATATCCGGTCTCCCCGGACCCTGCATTCACCATATCCGGTCTCCCCGGACCCTGCATTCACTATATCCTGGTCTCCCCGGACCCTGCATTCACTATATCCGGTCTCCCCGAACCCGCATTCACTATATCTGATCTCCCAGGACCCCGCATTCACTATATCCGGTCTCCCCGGACCCCGCATTCACTATATCCGGTCTCCCCGGACCCCCGCATTCACTATATCCGGTCTCCCCGGACCCTGCATTCACTATATCCGGTCTCCCCGAACCCCGCATTCACTATATCTGATCTCCCAGGACCCCGCATTCACTATATCCGGTCTCCCCGGACCCGCATTCACTATATCCGGTCTCCCCGGACCCTGCATTCACTATATCTGGTCTCCCCGGACCCCTGCATTCACTATATCTGGTCTCCCAGGACCCTGCATTCACTACATCTTGTCTCCCAGGACCCTGCATTCACTATATCTGGTCTCCCAGGACCCCGCAATCACTATATCCTGGTCTCCCAGGACCCCACATTCACTATATCTGGTCTCCCCGGACTCTGCATCCACCATATCTGGTCTCCCCGGACCCTGCATTCACTATATCCGGTCTTCCTGGACCCTGCATTCCCCTATATCTGGTCTCCCCAGACCCTGCATTCACTATATCTGGTCTCCCCAGACCCTGCATTCACTATATCCGGTCTTCCTGGACCCTGCATTCACTATATCTAGTCTCCCAGGACCCCCCAATCACTATATCTGGTCTCCCCGGACCCTGCATTCACTATATCCACTCTCCCCAGACCCTGCATTCACTATATCCGGTCTCCCCGGACTCTGCATTCACTATATCTGGTCTCCCCGGACCCTGCACTCACTATATCTGGTCTCCCCGGACCCTGCACTCACTATATCCGCTCTCCCCGGACCCTGCATTCACCTGGTCTCCCCGGACCCTGCATTCACTATATCTGGTCTCCCCGGACCCTGCATTCATTATATCTGGTCTCCCCGGACCCTGCATTCACTAAATCTGGTCTCCCCGGACCCTGCAGTCACTATATCTGGTCTCCCCCGGACCCTGCATTCACTAAATATGGTCTCCCAGGATCCTGCATTCACTATATATGGTCTCCCCAGACCCTGCATTCACTATATCCGGTCTCCCCGGACCCTGGTTCACACTGGTGCGGTGAAAAATTTGTATCGGTTTCTGTGCGAATTCCACACGGCATCAGAATCGCACCCTGTTCATGCGAACCGCTGCGGGTGTGTATGTTAAAGCGGAATTCTACTCACACTGTCAAAAAATAAAAGTCAGCAGCTACAAAAACTGTAGCTGCTGACTTTTAAAAAACATCCACTTACCTGTCCCTCGGTCCCCTGGTGTGTCCCTCGCAGCCCGTTTCACCGACCGTCCTGTATTCCAGGAGGCCGGCATCTTCAGTGTGGGCACCCGGCTGTGATAGCTTGTGGCTTCACAGCTGGGTACCCACTGCGCATGCGTGAGTAGCACTGCACTTCATGAATGGTCCTGTAGTCTTCTGGGACCTGTCACGTGTTCCAAAAGACTACAGGGAGGGAGGGAAAAGGACACCTTCCGCTTCCAATTGCCTAGACGATCGGACTGGAAGTGGGAATGGGTACCTGTCAAATTCAGGTACCCCCTACCAAAGGTGCCAATCCTCAATAGGGAGCAGTCCTTAAAGCGGAACTTTCCCTTTTGGGTGGAGCTCCGCTTTAAGTTAACACCCCGGTTCGCAAAACGCAGTGCAATGTGCAGAATCGGATTGCATCGGTGTGAATACCCATGCGATCTGATTCTAGCGCGAACCAAAAAAAAAGGGTCCTGTACCTTTTTGGTGCGGGTGCGGTGCGATTAGAGCCATACAAAATGTATAGCTGAAATCGCACCGCACAGAATTGGCATGTGATTTGCAGAGGAGTGCGTTGCGGTGCGGTTCCTGTGCGAATCACATTCGATATGCCGCACAAGTCTGAACCCGGGCTGAAATAGTAACTTTGATTACAGAGGTCTTGGAGAGAGAAGACTGGACACTGTTAGATTTGGTGTCCAGGGGCGGACTGACAACTCATGGGGCCCCAGGGCAATAGGGGATCATGGGGCCCCTGTGTCCTTGCCCAAACTCAAAAAAGCCTATGAAAAAGGTACCAGGGGCATCTCATGGGGCCCCCTACTGACCCTGGGCCCTTGGGCAGCGCCTGAGTTTCCAAATGGTCAGTCCGCCCCTGTGAATATCATACATCAGCACCCTCTTACAAATATATCCAAACAGCAACACAGTCTAAACATTACAAATGAGAGAACTCTCAGACGCTTGTAGATAAACGCACAGCTCCGAGTTTTCCGTCAGCACCGAGTCAATGGCAGCAGGTCAGGAAATTGTGTATTGTGTTCCACCTTCATTTACAGCTGAGCTCAGGCCAAGCAGCTGAACACACAGCTGAAATACATACGGTATATGGGATTTTCTTTACCTGCCACAGGATTTGCTCTGCTGTTCAGCCAGTCTTGTGATCTAGGTTCCCTGACCAGCCGGTTAAATCCTTGACTGTGCCAAGAGCGCAGCTTGGTCAAAAACACGCCCCCACCCTGCTGATTGGCTGGTGAAGACATATAAGCATGCTGGCGAGTCACTATGGACAGTTTCAAAGATTTCGATACATTTTTTTTTTTACACCATGTATGGTAGGGAGCATGTCAAGTGCACTGCGGTGCCATCTATTCTGGTGGTGTGCACGGGCCCTTCATTAACCCCTTGGTGCCGACACCTCCTGGCCCTTTAAGGGTTCCAGAGGCCGGGAGGCGGGGCGGGGTTTTAGGGTCATGTGACTGCCGTGATTCGCTATCACGGCGGTCACATGATCGGGAAAGGTCCCGATCGAAAGAGGAGATGAGGACCTGTCCGTGAGTACCGGACATGTGTGCTGGGTGCGCCCTCTCAGCACATTTGGTTTTTTTTTTTTTTAATAGAACGCAAATGTGCAGCAGCTCGGCGTCTAGGCCCAGACGCAGGGAGGCCGCACATTTGCATTCAGCTGGCGCCAAGAGGTTAAAGGGAAACATCCTGGGGCAGTTTATTTATTTATTTATTTCAGGCAACTAAGAGAAGTTTATTGTTGGGTTTTAGATATTTTATTATTTATTTCAGGTACTTATATAGCACCATCAAATTACGCAGCATTTTACATATATATTGTACATTCACATCAGTCCCTAACCCTCAAGGGGCGTACAATCTAAGGTCCCTAACTCACATTCATACATACACATACTAGGGCTAATTTAGACAGGAGCCAATTAACCTACCAGCATGTCTTTGGAGTGTGGGAGGAAACCGGAGTACCCGGAGGAAACACACGCAGGCACAGGGAGAACATGCAAACTCCAGGCAGGTGCTGCCGTGGCTGGGATTCGAACCAACGACCCGAGTACTGCCAGGCGGAAGTGCTAACCATTTATCACTGTGCTAAATGTAGATGACGTTTTCTAAATGTTTTCTGCTTCTACAGCAACTGACACCCAATGCAGCAGAGCCAAACTGAAGCCTCAAGGACACCGGCTGGCACATTAAAGGCAAAGTATGAAATGACCTCTTCCTTGTCACATGCTGCATGTCACAAAGTGTCAGTAATCATTAACTCCCCCATCATCATATTTTCTAACTGTAACGATATCGTCAGACAAGGGCCCCTATATAAACAGCCGTTCCAGGCAACTAATAAAAACCATCAATGAAGTGCTATTTCTATCCAAGAAACACAGCCAAAAATCAGAAAGATGATTCAATTCACTTTGGGATTTGTGTAATCCACTGCGGACATCTGCAGCAAGCTTTCACATGTGCTTCTGGGTGGGACTGCAATCTCTGGTCACATGATTTTCCAGCTTCCTTCCCTTCTGTCTGAGACGCAGCAAAGGCATCTACAGTGGCCAAAGCTGACTAAATCATCTGAACAGCACATTAACAAGCTTGAGAACTTTTATTTTTTTTTAAAGATAAATATCAAACGTGATATTTATCTTTAGACCAGGCTGATACCCGGTTTCCCCTAAAATAAGACCTACCCCAAAAATAAGACCTAGTGTGGTTTTTTTGAGCCCAGTGTCTTATTTTCGGGAAAACAAGGTATATGTAATGTAAGCAATATGTACTACAAAATGTATAATTTGTAAAAAAAAAAAACAAAAAACAAAACATTTTTTATATATATATATATATATATTTTTTTTTTTTTTTTTTTTTTTAAACTTTGATGAGATTAAAAAAACTGCAACAATAGAAAAAACCTGTTTTTTTGTGTATAATTTGTAAAAAAACAAATATATACATACATACATGTACACACACCGTGTGTGTGTGTGTGTATATATATATATGTATTTATTTTTTTCTTTTTACTTTGATGAGATTAAAAAAACTGCAACAATAGGAAAAAACTTGTTTTGTGTATAATTCGTACAAAACCCTCCATTATTTTTCATATATATATATAATTTTTTTTTATTTTTTTCTTTACTTTGATGAGATTAAATAAAATGCAACTTGTTTACTTGTTTTGTGGATAATTTGTAAAGAAAAAAAACATTATATATATATATAATTTTTTTTTCTATATATATTTTTTACTTTGATGAGATTAAAAAAACTGCAACAATAGAAAAAACTTGTTTTGTGTATAATTTGTAAAAAAAAAAAAAAAAAAATATATATATTTATATATATATATATATATATATACATTTTTTTTTTTTCAATTTGATGAAATTAAAAAAATCTGCAACAATAGAAAATGTGCACCTAATGAAAATATACTCCACTCTTAAAGAGAATTATCGTGAGTTTTATTTGTAATTTATGTGTGCAGCATACACATACTATATGACTACTGATTTTACGTTGTTCCCCCCTCCCGATTTCCCCAAAATCATTGATTCTTAATGTTTTGAAAGTGCTGCCCAATGACGTCAATGGGGGCTCAAACAATCCATGAAGAAATTGGGAGTTTGCTTACGGCTCATGCTTTTGTTTTTCTCTTGTGCTACATTCTTCTAAGGCACTTCTGGGCATAAAACACAAGGTCCAAAAATAAGCAAAATTAAACGATTTTGTCATTTACTGGATGCATACTGACATTGTTAAAAGGGAATGTATTGAGGTTTTGTGGGTATATATCTATCTACATGTATATATATAAACATGTGTAAATAAAGATTGTAAGCTCCCAGGATCAGGGCCCTCCTAACCCTCTTGTATTGAACTGTATCGTTGCTGTATTGTCTCCCGTTATATTGTAAAGCGCTGAGCAAACTGTTGGCGCTATATAAATCCTGTATAATAATAATAATAATAATAATAAAGTGCAGTGCTAAAACGAAAATTACAATTGAGTCCAACGTATTGAAACCACAACACAAAAAATGTATATGCAAATTAGTGCAAATAAATGTGTATATAACAAAACATAAAATAAGTGAATGCAGCGAACTAACATAGTCCATTCAGTGAAAATCTGTGTATCAGAGGTACTATGAAACACAGAAAAAAGGGTCTAATTCCAAACAGTGTCTGGGGATCCAGTGACTACTCCGCCACCACTATGCACTCTGCAGAATGCTACTGGTAATGTAGCAATGATCTAAAGATCAATAATTCACTCTCCAGAATCCATAGGACAAATGACCTCCTAGGAAAAAAAGCTCTTATTTCCTGCCATAAGGAGGCAAAGATTGTAGATATGTGAGTTAGCGCCATATACTATTTTAACATAGAGAGAACATACACACAGAGAGAACATACGATATGTGTGTGTGTGTATATATATATATATACATACACACACACACACACAACTTTATTAGGTACCCTTGTTCAATAGCTTGGTAACACAAATTGCTAATCAGCCAATCATATGGCAGCAACATGGCATTTAGGCATCTAAACGTGGTGAAGAGGACTTGAAGTTCAAACCGAGCATCAGAATGGGGAGGAAAGGGGATTTAAGTGACTTTGAACGTGGCATGGTTGTTGGTGCCAGATGGGCTGGTCTGAGCATTTCAAAAACTGCTGAACTACTGGGATTTTCACACACAACCATCTCTGGGGTTTACTGAGAATG